ACTCACAGCGATCCACCTGCCTCTGCCTCCCGAATGCTGGGATTAAAGGCATGTGTGCCACCAACGCCCGGCGAACCAGTTACTTTTGACTGGCTGGCTTTCTTGTCTCCTTAAGAGGAGCCAGCTTGTTCCTATGCCCACTCTGACTCTTCACATTGTCTCTGGGGGGCAAGACCGTTGTACAGCAGCTGTAATTTCCAAAGCTGGACACTGACAAAAGCTGTGTCTAAATATTTCTCAGGTCTTGTAAAGTGGGCCTGTCTCAGACATACCTTGAGATTTAGCTTGCTGTACTTGGTTGCTGTAGTTTCACCACATAGAGCTCATCAGCACATCAACAGTGCAATGTCCTAAAGATCTTCTAAAGATCTGTCTTGCAGTAGCATGCGGCCGAGTAAATGTCAAAATCAGATGCAGCCCAGCCCAGAATCATTGGGACCACTTGCATCCCTGTCTCCTTTGAGTTATTCTCCTCTTCCATAGCTTATTTTTCTCTCTGCCAAGAATATGGGAACTTGATTTGATTCTTCTGGATGGTGGCTTTGGGTTTGTAGACCAGCACTGTTAGTATAAATGCCACATAATGTAATTTATCTAGTAGCCACATTAAAAATCAGATAAAATAATTAAAATTTTTAATCCAGTAGAGAGTAAATATGTTTTAACATATAATTAACCAACAATTGATGAGGTACTTTACCCTTTTTTTTTTCTTCTTCTTCTTCTTCAGTATTTGGAATCTGGTGTATTAGTTTTTACAGCATAGTTCAGACCAGGCACTTGTAAAATGCTCAGCCACAGATGAGCTGCCATACTAGACCCTCTCTAGATAAAGCTATAAGCAATTTAACTCCCGTACTTAGACAATTTTAAAGCAAGTTAAATGGTTCATCTTCTATTCAGTCCATTCACAACGTGGCTGCCAGTGCTGACCTCAACAATTCTTAGCTCCTCTGTGACCATGAAGTAGCCTGTGTTTCTTGAACCACTTCTGCCACCCACAGTTCGATTATCAGTAGGATCCAATGTTGGAAGAATACATTCAACCAATTTTTTCTTAGGTTTTTATTTTTCTGATTTGTAGGTGAACGTGAGTAAAAAGAAAGGAGATGGGGATATACTGAAGGATCTTATGAAAACTACAGGCACCGCCAAGGTCAGGGAGGCCCTTGGAGAGTACCTGAAGGCACTTAAGACGGGTAAAGGCGGCATCCCTTGTGAACCACAGGGTCCCTTGCTGTTTACCCAAGTTATGTTCTGCATGAGGGCTGGATTCCCAAGGCAGGCTCCTGAAACATCTTTAGACTGCAGAATAAGTTGTAGTCTGGGTGTTGAAAGCTCGTTGTGGGTAAGACTGTAATAACTGCCACTTGTTTCCTGAGTGGCACACTTAAAAGTCTCAGCACAGGGAAGCTGAGGTATGAGGATTGCTGCAGGTTTGGGGCTAGTTTGATCCTATTTAAAAAGAAACAAATGCACTCTCCTCTCCAATGGAGTAGTTCTTGTGTGATTACTTGTTTAATATCTGTCTTGGCTGCTAGACTATATGCTCCATGAGGGTATGGAAGGTATCTCTCTTGTTCACTGCTGTATCTCTAGCACAATGCCTGGCACATAGTAAGTGCTCAATAAATCTTAGCTGAGTGAATGAATATATGAACAAAAGTGACCACAGATAATACAGGTATCTATAACACCTAGATAACATCTAGGCTGTTGTCATTTTCTCAAATTAAGAGTTGATAGCCTGGCAGAGTGGCCAGGAGGGCCTTCTCTGCAACTTGCTGTCCTTGAAGCTTGCTCATTTGAGTGTCCAGGGGTTCACACACATGAGTTTAGGGTCACCACTCTTCCTACAAGACCTCCCAGGCATGAAGACCGAGTGAGAGTAAGCTTTGTAAGGGTAATGGAGAGATGAGGACCATAAGCTATTAATAATCATGTACAACCTAGTTGTTTAGAAAACAACTTGTGAAAAATAAGCATTTTAAAGGAATATGCTAAAGCAAGGCACTGAAACAAAGAATAAAGGGCCTTCGCTTATAAATAAGCATCAGTAATATATGTAAAAACAGTTATTTTCAAGGCCTCAAAATGTTCTTTTGAAAAATACCAGTTTAGATAAAGGAAATAATGCTAATAAAATTTCCTATTTCCTTGTAGAATTTACAACAGGAATGATTTTACCAACAAAAGCTATAGCAACCCAGGAGCTGACTGTTGAGAGGAAAGTGACTGGAAACCCTTTGCAGGTATGAGCCGATGGCTAGTGTGTCATCAGGGAGGACACCTCCAGTTAGTTTCCACACAACCTTTTGATGGTACTGGGTTGCAGATGAGGAAAGGGTGTTGACTACTTATTTCTCCTTGAGATTAATGCTGATGTCATTTTGTGGAATAACAAAATGCAACTTTTTTGTGCCAGTTTGAGGACTGTTAGATGCTGGACATGCTCCCTACCACAGAACTCACCTTTAGCCTGAGGTTCCAATGCTTGATGAATGAGAAAACTAAACAGGCCTTGCACTTCATTGGTTGACAGACTAGACACATGGTCATCTTCCTCCTTCAGAGTTCTGACTGCTGGGAGCAGAGGTGTGAGCCATCGTAGCCAGCAAAAGCAAGTGACATTGAGGCTCACATAGCATGGTGGAAGAATGTTCTGCCTTGAATTTGGGATTGTAGAGTCTAGATGTTCTTTTCAGAATTAGGGAACAGGAATGTATGCATGGAATTAACCCCTTAAAGTCTGGTCATCTTTCATCCTGTTGTCATGCCAGTCTAAATAAGCTCAGAGGTGTTTAGCTAGAGCCTTGAAATGGAATGGAGGTGAAGTTCTCATAGAAACAAGCTGTTTGTAGAGGAAAAGCCACCGCTGCTGGAATAAAGAACGCTAATGTTGTTATGTGAGTGGAGGGCAGCAGTGTGCAACCTGTAGGATTGACCTTTAGATCCTGTCCTTTTCTTCTGGTGTGCTCACCATCCTCTTGAACCTCTTTTTCATCTTGAGGTGCAGGCTTCTCCAGTGGCACTGGGTGTAAGGATTCCCACTGTAGCTTTGCACTTGACGGAGCTGTTTGACACGACAGTAGAACAGCTGTACAGTATCTTCACTGTGAAAGATGTAAGTAAAGCCCTAAGCTACTCTACCATACATTGCAAAGAAAAGAACAGAGTGTTTTTGAAGGAAGGGCTTCAGGGAAACTTGAAGGGACGATGGCCCCTTGTGGTGGACTGTATCAGCAGTTGGGGGAATCTATGTTTCCCTAAAGAAGAAAGCTTTGATGTCCAACAAAATTCAAACAAACCACACTGTTGCTGAAACACTGGCCTGGCATGGAAGGCTGGTATACTCCCCACCACATGCACAGGGTGACAGCATGTGCTGGAATAATGTGTCTGTTTTGTTTGGCTAGTTGGTGCAAAAATTTTCCAAATCTCCTGCTGTATTAGAAGCTGAAAAGGGAGGGAAATTCCAAATGTTTGATGGGAACATCACTGGAGAATATGTGGAACTGGTAAGTAACTACAAGGTTACGTTACAGTGGTGACCTGGGGTGATGGCTGCTCCTTTCCACTCGTGTTATTTCTTAACTTGTTTTAAAGGTTTTGATGAGTTCAGTCTCAAGATTCTTTTAATAAGGTTCATTGTGGAAAAGAAATGTTATATACTGTGTCTATAAAATGATAAGGACTAAGGCTTACTTTGACAGTAATTCTTCAAAAAGCAGCTTAACACTTCCTATTCTGCTTCACATTGTTTTGGAGACTTTACGTTCTGCTGCTTCCAGCACTCTATGTCATTAGGGTCCAAGCTGCCAGATATCACTGGCCTTTCCAGTCAGCTCTGCAGTTACCATAGCTTTGTCCTTGGTATTAATGTTGCCAAGGATATTGGAGAACATTAGCATGTAAACTGGAAGACAGGATTGTATTTATTGGTTCTAGTATTAACTTGGAAAAGGGGTAGTTTCTTCTGTTGTATTGTGAAAAGTTTCAATAATGTCTTTGTTTTCAGTTAACGAATAGGAAGATCATCATGAAGTGGAGATGCAGAAACTGGCCAGAAGGTATGTTAGATGCAGTTTATATATGCAAGCCCAGCAAACTAAAGCTGGTATGGACAGTTTCTTCTTCCTGATGCCATAATAAGGCTCCTGGTTTTTCCCCCCAGAACACTATGCAACAGTTGCATTGAATTTTGTGCCTGCTCCAGGGCAAACGGAATTACAATTGGACTGTAAAGGAGTTCCTGTCTGTAAAGAAGAGAATACAAAATTCTGTTGGCAGAAGCAGCACTTTGAAGAAATAAAAGGTCTACTTCAGCTCACCACCCAGAATGCTTGAACTAGTTAGGTTTTATAAGGACATCCTTTTTGTAAGCTGAAACCTGTCCTATTGCCTCTTCTTTCTTCCTCAAAAAGTCCCCTCCCCCGCAAGGTCCCTAATTTATTTTATACTGGATGAAATTCATGAAACGACAAAATTTAAAAGCATTGCTTGAAGCATTCTAGACACTGCACTTCATAAAATCAGGTGTTATCTCACCTTCCATGGGTGTTCCTCTCTGGAAAGTAGGTGAAGTCCAGTTCCCTGAGCTAAGGCTGGTCACAACACGCTACTTCATTGCTAGTTGATTTAAGCTGAAGACAAATAAATGGCATGTTACACTATTCTTTTATTTTACTTCAGTTTTCAGGGTGTAGTTCTTAGGAGTGTTGTGGTGAGGGCTAGGTGGCTGCATTGTCACACTTCTCTGGCTCTTCTTGGTGGCTTCAAAGCACTCAGACACTTTGGGATGGAGAAATGAGACATCCACATGGTAAGTTATTTTTTGGACTGCTGGGGACTTCTCAAACAGCAGAATGGCCATGTCCTTTCTCCCTTCAGTCTGCTTACTGCTGTCATCCGAGGAAACTGAAACAACTTACGTAACAAAGGAAAGTCATCACAGTCAGTTTAATTAAGTACACAGAACAGAGTCAGTCATTTCAATAAAAATAAAACAGTTATTTTTACATCAAGTGTGCTTTATTTCCTCCACAGGTATTCTGTTAAATAAAGCACCATTTATATACTGCCAGGCCACAGCTAAAGAGGATTCTTTACAGAATCAAATTTCTTGTGGTTGTTCCGTATACAAGTAAACTTAATTTTGATAATAAGAACCACAGCGATCAGAGGCAATCTGCCTCTCTTATTTTAAGGTACAAAACTGGCACAGAGGACACCATATTATACACAGTAAAAATGCTGTAAGTTTAAATTACGTTGTACAGGGTCAGAGCCCTGATTCTCCCAGAAAGCCATATTAAATGAAAGCCACTACAGTGAACTCTTAATTACATAAAACATATCCATTATCTGATTGCCCTTTAGAAAGTATACAGAAGATGCAAATTTTTTCATCTGGAGTTCTGCCTGACCAAGAATTAAGCCTATAAATCTATCTTGCCATTCAAGCAGAGAGCACTGGACAAACTGAAGCACAAAACAAATAAGCAAAATTTAGACAAACGGCATGGGGGAGGGGCACTTGAAAGTAGACATGCCACATCTAATGTCAAGAAGCAGCTTGATTTCCTTTGCCAGATATCCTTGTGACCACATGGATTGTTGATTCAATGGTCCTACACAGGGTATCTAAAATGTCGTGTTGCTGCATGTG